ATGGTTTTGTTTTTAATCAGTTCTGGTGTTTTGAATACCTTAAAACAAATATAGAAGTCATGTTCTTCACAAAATGTTGTGCATGCAAATGTGCACTTGGCATTCCTCCCATGATGCTGTTCATGTATATTACTGCTAACATGCTTGATTGCACAGTATCATGGGGTCCCAGACATTTACATTTTATGCCAGACTGTGCTTTTGCAGTCTGGCATATGATCTTAATATATAATAATAAAGCTGGGCTCATAAAATCATTCATGCAGTATGTCATGAAAATAGACCACATTACTGTAAGGGTTTTCTTGCCTTTAATAAATACAATCAGCTGAACGAAAAAGAGTAAATGATAAAGGAAAATAAGCAGCAGACATCAGGTTCAACTAAGAAAAAGTTGCTCTGGCTGTACTCCAAACCCAACATAATTTTATCTCTCAACACATTCTGTCTCAAAGTCCACAATCTGGATGCAAGTACAATTTCTTTTTTAAACCATAATTCTAATGTAATGTTTTAGAAAATAATATATAAACAATATTTCATGTTAAATAATGACAGATTACACCATAACTTTTTTTTTTATATAGGTTTGCAACATTGAATAAATCACCAAGTCAGAAAATTGCTACAGTCCCTTACGCAATCATGGTAAGCCAGATTTAAGTCACATATGTATACGGCTGTTTATTTCTCGTTTGGGTAATAAGAGTAACACCATGGTTGTTAGTGTTTTGAGACAACACCTACTCAGCCAGGATTGTGGAGCATTGTGGGAAATTTAGTTCCAAAGCATTTTTTGTGGTGCCTAGCTTAGCATCTATTGCACCATAACATTTTGGTAGTTTTCCAAAATGATATGCTATCTGATGGTGTAAAATCTGGTTTGGATCGGATCGTCAACATTAAATCTTCTTAATTTCTTCTTGTCGTCAGTTGATTGATATATACGTCTTTTGTATATATAGTCTTGGGCCAAATTTGCTCGCCACATTAATATATGTCTATATTAATGAAAAGTACTAATACGCAATCTGACTTACGGTTTCTGCAGGTTTATTCTTAGTTACTGATACATAATAAAACAACAAAGGATGTTACAGAATAATGGATTTCAACAGCAGATGGTAATTGCTGGACTTCTGTCGGGAGAGTTACATCTTGTACAGGAAAGAGAGCCAAGAGAGAGAGACCTCGTGTTCAGTTACTATATAGATATGACCATAATGACATCAGACTATAACTCTAGCCATATAAGGACAAAAACCCCAACTTACATTCCAGAGCTCTCAGACAAAGAAAGCCTTGTGACTTATACCATCTGTTACTTATGTCAATCCACACATCCATATATAATCAATAGAAACATAGAATATGCAATATTCTACAGATGGTAAAAAAAATAAAAATTTCATTCTTTTTTTTTTTTTTCACAAGGTAAAAAGCTAAACCAGGAATTGGCCATGGAATTCCAAATTTTTGAATAATAAAGTCTCCTGCTCTTTAATCTTCATGTATTTACTATTTTCGGTTAACATTTACAATTTCCTGGTTATGCATAAACAAATTGGGAACAGAGTGTAAAGTTTTTGAATTGTGACATTAGGTTTTCTTTTAATACACTGGGCCTAATGCAATTTTTTTCTTGTATGTATGTATGATACTATAATCAAGGAAATGTCAGAACTTGGTAGCAAAACCAATGTTTCTTTTACTCTAATTCAGTGACATTTTATATATGTGCATATATGTCTTCAGTGAGGAGTACTGAATTTTGCTACACCAGCATGCCCAGGGACCAGACCCAATTGTACAAGTTTATCATGTCATATGCTTGCATATTCAGTGACATACCCATAGCATGTATAGAAAAGCACTTTTGTTATATCCAAAAATGTTATTACCCAGCATCAGTGCTTAACCTCACTAATGATGGACAAATCATTGTCATGGTCAAGCAGATGTTTGCCTATGTTTGACTCTGCAGAGAATGTAATTGTGTGTGCCTGTAGCACAGGTATCTATGCCCGCCATTCTGAACAATAAATTATTTATTATTGTCCCTTCCACAGCATCAAGGTTTTCGTGATATTGCTGTTCCAGAACCTGAAGTAAACTCATCACACATTGAAAAAAACCCAAGGAAACGTCCACGTGTTGAGGAAGACGATGAAGCTTAACAAGGGATAATTTTTCAAGGTATCCAGGGGTTATCTGGGGTACAGTGCAAAATTTTAGGAAACCTTGTTTTGATTTCTATAATGATTTCTATTTATTTAGCACTTTGCCCCACAAGAACACCTGCTTCTGTCTTGAAAAATCTCCTCCAAAATGCTTGTTCCATTGCTTTTTTAGAGCACGAAAGTGTCTACTTGTAATTATATACTACAAATAAATTTTGATTAAGTATTTAAGACTTTTTCATATTTCTTAGATAACTGTCATAAAGAATAGCACAGTTGTTTTGTTTACAAACTAAAATATGTTTTAATATTGGTCTTTAGATTGTGTTGACCAGTAGCTCCTCTTGGATATACTGGTTTCTTACAGTAGACATATGCTGAATGAATATGTTTGTCTCATCCTAAGTTTATTGTGAACTTTTTAAGCAATTAAGGCTCCTTTTATATTCATAATGGGGCTATAATCTGTATGCATAACTACTGAGAATAACAGCTACTGAAATCTACAAAATATACAGAGGAAGTAGGACTAGCTCAGATATTCACATATTCGTAGGAATGTCCCTTAACTATTTAAGTGCATTACTCCGTCATGGATGTCCTACCCTTTTGGACCCATGATGGATTAATTCCATCATGCAATATTTTTACCAGCAGGGACCGTTTTCCTGCTGATAACTCGGAACCCCATGTATCATTAGATACCTGGAACCTCCCTGTGTATATAAAACGTGTGTGATGCATGCATTAGGAATACATATGTTGTACATATATAGCAGTGATGGCAAACCTGTGGCATGCCGGGCCCTCTCTGTGGGCACGCGGCTATAGGTTGCCGGGGGAGGGGGCCGCTGGCGCTGGTCGGCAGCAATGCAGAATAGGCACCTGCCTGCCCAAAACGGCAGGCACCTACTCTGCTTTCGTATCGGGAGGACCCGACAGCAGGGGGAGGGATCTGAGAAGCAGCTGTCCTGTCCTCCCGCGAGCAGGCTGTGGCACTTTGAGGGAAAAAAGTTGGCATGTATTGTGGTTTGGGCACTCGGGCTCAAAAAGGTTCGACATCACGGATATATATCATGTGTTGCATGCACATAGAATGTATGTGATACACAGAAGACTAAATTAGAATGCTATCTTCTAAGCATCTGAAAGATTAAATTAACAAGATATAAGATAACATTTTGTGCATCTTTGCCCTTATTTGGTATTCTTACATATAACTATCCTTTGTATGAATAGCAAATGAGGGAGTTATAACAACTAATAAAGACAAGCCCCATCAGAAGACTTTTTTAATATAACAATTAGTGACGTACTAGTGGTCATTTTTTTTTTTTAGCCATGTCCTCTGGTGGGGCTTGTCTTTATTCATTGTTGTATTTAAATTGGGGTTAGCCTCGAATAATTACCCTGTTGACCATTTTTCTAGCTGCTGTACATCTTTTATCTGTGGCTTATTTTTTAAATAAGGGAGTTATCAACTAAAAAGATAACTGAAAGATCAAAATTATGAGAAAAAAAATATTGTTTGATCTTTTAGCTGTGTTTAGTAGCTAGCTCCCTCATTTGGTACCTTTAGGTGGGATTACCATTTGTAAGGATACCAAATTACCAGCTAAACAACGCTCCTGTAGATTATAATAGGCATTCAAATTTCAGAAGCGAACAAAAATGTTTAGGCATTTTGTTTCCTTCTGAATTGATCATTTCCAAATTTCGGGTTAAACTAAAATTTTGAAATTAACTAAACCAAATAAATTTTTCACTCGTACACATCCCTGATGTACTCTGTAAATCAAAACAAATAAATGTATTGATTTTGAATTACTTTTCTTAGGCTGCCCTGATTATGTAAACATTATTATTGTCAAAACTGTGAAAAAAAGTTTTTTCAGTTTTTGTATATATTTTTTTATAATAAATGAGAACTTATACATGTATATATCACAAAAAAATAAAGATCCTTTCTCCTTTAAAAAACAAACAAACAAAAAAACAGTATATAATATGTGTTGGTGCAATAAATCAGAAAGATAGAAATTGAACACATACCAAAAATGTAAAAATTGCTTTTGTTCTTAAAGGAACACTAGATAGTTTTAGGAATACAAATGTTACTGTTTAGGTGACTGAACCCAAGCTGCCAGGGATACAATGGTGATCTTGCTTTTCTTTTCTCCCTTGCAACGCTGGTCTCCGGTGTGTAATCCTTCCCCTTTCGCTGAGATCGTCAAGATCCAATAGGAAAGCATTAGGATGCTTGTGCGCATATGTGGCAAAATGGCACGCTGCTCAAAGATCCTTCTTTATTAGGATTTATGGCTTTTTACAAACAAAATGACCATTGGAGAGGTGACGATAATTTTAAAGAACTCCATAAGGTTGAAAGTAGGATCTTCACTCTGAACACTTTGGCCCCTCAGGGGCTTAATATAGATTTAGAATTGATCCTTTTTTTACAATAATAGATAGTATGTTTTTAGTTATGTTCCTTTAAGCTGAGGTAGGGGAAGATGGAGTAAAGTATAGAGGATATGATTTTTATGTTCTGTGTTCTTTATTTCTCCTTTGTAATTAGAAATGTCCATTTTTTTCTTGTGCACTATTCTATTTGTCACAATTGAGTTTTTTGACTTTTGAAATATTTTAACCTTACTCTTTTCTTTTATTGTAGGTTTTAAGGCCATGTGTACTTTGTTGTACATTACCTATATGTACATTATTCCTTTTCTATAAATATAGATTTTTTTTTTACTCATTGTGTTTATGTGTTTACTTTTTGTTTATCTTTACTTTTTATGGTAATGTCCATTGTGCCTGCTTTTATTAATATATATCGAAATACCTACATTTGCCATTACCATCCATAATAAAGTAATAGGCATTTCCACGTTTTATGCCCTTTGCAAAGATGGACATTCGGGCATCTGTCTAATGAACTCTTAGGATATGATTTAATGTGCGACCACTTGCCGAGCAACCGGAAGTGACGTATAGTGCCATTACAAAACGAACCAGGGCCATTTGCATATCAGACTGATTCCACCCAAAAGGACAGAACAGATCCAAAATGCAGGCCAGCTCTCTCTGCACGAGAGATATAGCAACCCCAGGTGTTCAGTCTTGTTAGGCATTGTCAGGGAGGTATAGTTGATATCCCTCTAGGCACCCCTCTAGGGTCCACATCTGGATTACCTTTTAAACTTAGGGAGAACAAAAATCAAGTTGCAAGAGAGTACAGAGAATGGGCAACAGCTCAATAAGCTTGCCCTTGAGTGGGTTGCCGCTCAGATCTCAAGTTGGTTTTAGCTCATCTCGTGCCCACCGAAAAGTGGACATTGTTTTTCTGATATTGAGAAAAGTTGAGAAAGCATTGAAACACAAATGCCTTATTAAACAACGGTCTAATTCCTTGATGACTTAAACTACTTTAACTAAGACAGTAAACAAATCGATTTTGTTGATATCCCACAAGCTATAAAAATCTTGTATGTGCCAACTCAAGCAATTGAGGGGCTACCATCTCATGGTGAATAAGTTAAATTAAAGACTCACAGTCCAGATCACAAGACCTCTTGTCAGAAATATAAGAGAAGGGTTGATACAGGATAGTTTTACAAAATTTATGTTAGAAGGATATATATTTTAAAGTATATCTTCAATTCAAAGTATAATCATTATATAAATATTGATAAAATCTTTATAGCATAGCATGTTTAGATAATTTTTTTTGTTATATTTATTTATATATGTGTATAATATATCCTATTAAAGTCTAGGGCTAGGAACTGAAACATTGATCTCCCTGGGCCTTTTTTGATTAAATAAAGAAATTTAATTGAAGAAGACCTTGAGTGCAGACCTATTTTACACTTGAAGTATATATATAGTATATATTTTTGTTTTTTGTTCTTTAGATATATAAATTATATATATATATATATATATATATAACATTTTCCTGGTCATATCCATGGCAGCATAACAATGGGTAACTCCTCCCCTATCCCTAATTAGACAGGAACTAATTAAAATAAAGGTACAAATACCCCCTCCTACCTCCTCCTCCCTCAGTCTTTTTGTTCCTGTCCTATCCCTATAGGACCAAATCAGTCTATTTCAGGACTATAATCACTTTTTCTTTTATGGCTTACCTGAGGGTTTTTACCTTCTGGCCCCAAGGGAGTTCAGCCTCTCTTCCTTGGGAAGCTTCAGTATCCGGCCCTGTGCAAAGGTGTCCCCCTGAAGATACCCCCTTAGTGACCGGGGGTTTACTTGCAGTGACCCTAGGGGTAGCAAGAGAAAAAAATGCCAATAACTCTTATTCCCTGCAGTGACCAAGAGGTAGCAGGAAGTGGCGAGAAGACTTTATCCTGGATGGATCAGTATATTTCTCCATATTGATAGTCCACATGTATGTATACGCATAAATACTTTTTTCATATATACTGTATTTGGTATACTTATATATGTGGGTTCCTCCTCCTGCCTAATCAGTTTTTCTACATACCTTTTTTCATTTATTAATGTTAATATCTCCTTGCCTTTCCGGCGTCCTGAAGTTCCTTTTGCGCATGTGCGCCGTTTTCGCGCATCCACCCTGTCCACCCGCGAGGTAGTTACGATGCCTCCCATTCGGGCTTGGCTTCCGGGTTTGCCGCGCATGCGCATATAACAATTGGTGGTTTTACTCGTTCGGAGCGTGTGCGGATAGGCGGTGACGTCAGATATGACGTCACACGCCTATTTAAGCGCCAAAATTGAATTTAAACATTGCCTGATGACTTCATTAGGTCTCAAAGGACCTGCTTCATTTCAGAATCCAAATTTGAAAAACTTCTGAAAATTTCAAGTTTATCTGAAGGTAGGTTTCTGCATCCTTAAAGGTATATATACATTTTTTTTTATTCTATCTTTCTTTCTTCTTTTTCATTCAATAATAATAATTCTTTTTACCTAGACCATTCAAAAACAATACCAATATGGAGAAAGAAAAAAGGAGATCAATCTCTTCTGATTCAGACTCTTCTGGATATAAAAATAGGTCACACTCTAAGAGTTATAGGTAAGCCATATCATTTTCTCTCCATTCTGATATTATAGGTGTAATACATAAAATAAAAGAGAGCTAATATGAGATATTTCCCTGTCATGATAGTTCTACTGGAAAGAAAACGGTGAGATCATCCAAAGGAAAATCACCAAAAAAGAATCAATGCGATGTCTGTAATAATAAACCGCTGGAAGGCAAACGATTATGTGCAGAATGTTTATCGGAAGCAGCCGGAACATCTAATCCTTCAACTGAGTTTATGCAGTTCATAAAACAAGCAGTGACTCAGGGCATTAAAGAAGCAGGTACAAGAACCAAAAGACCACGGTTACATGACCCTTCAGATTACCAACAAAACGATTCATCAGACGAGTCCATGGATATGGAGTCATACCAAGGAAATTTCTTATCTTCGGAAGAAGAAGAAACTCAGGCTCCTCCAGATTTTCTAGAACCTGCTAAAATAGATGATCTTATTTATAAAGTCTGTAAATCTTTGAGTTTGAAAGTAACAGTTACAGAGCAGTCAACTTCTTATCGTTACTTCTCAGACTTGAGAAAGAAAAAAGCAACCTTTCCAGTACATGATACTATCAAGGAATTAATTAAAGGACCACTATAGTGCCCTGAGGCTGCCCCCACCCTCAGGGACCCCCTCCCTCCCGGCTCTGGAAGGGGGAAAGGGGTAAAAACTTACCTTTTTCCAGCGCTGGGCGGGGAGCTCTCCTCCTTCGATCCTCCTCCGTTCCTCCCCGTCGGCTGAATGCGCACGCGCGGCAAGAGCTGCGCGCGCATTCAGCCGGTCGCATAGGAAAGCATTATCAACGCTTTCCTATGGACGCTTGTGTGCTCTCACTGTGATTTTCACAGTGAGAATCACGCAAGCGCCTCTAGCGGCTGTCAATGAGACAGCCACTAGAGGATTTGGGGGAAGGCTTAACCCATTCATAAACATAGCAGTTTCTCTGAAACTGCTATGTTTATAAAAGAATGGGTTAACCCTAGAAGGACCTGGCACCCAGACTACTTCATGCTGAAGTGGTCTGGGTGCCTAGAGTGGTCCTTTAAGGACGAATGGTCCAATACGGATAAAAAGCTTTCAGCACAAGGCAGAATCTCTCGCCTCTATCCTTTTGACAAATCTGATTCATACCATTGGGATAACGCCCCTAAAGTGGATGCTGCAGTAGTTAGACTTGCAAAGCATACCACATTACCAGTTGATGATGCAGGCTCATTTAGACACCCAATGGACAAGAAGATGGACTTACATCTTTCAAAAGCTTATGTAGCAGCAGGTACTGGTTTTCACCCTGCAATAGCCCTTACATCGGTTTCCAGGGCCTTGAAAATCTGGATCGAGAATTTGGAAGAAGATATCAGAGATGGGAGAAACAGATCTTCTCTTCTGGAAAGGTTAAATGATATTAAACTGGCCGTTGACTTTACCTCAGAATCCTCAGTGAATATGGTGAAAGCTCTAGCAAGAAACATGGCTCTCTCAGTATCAGCTAGAAGAGCTTTGTGGCTGAGATCTTGGTCCGCAGACTCATCGTCAAAGTCTAGTCTATGTGCCCTTCCTTTTCATGGTGAGATGCTGTTTGGTAAAAATCTTGACAAGTGTATCAAAAGAGCTGCAGAAGGGAAAAGAGCTTTTCTCCCACAAGACCGGAAAACCCGTGGATCCTTTCGAGCCAGAAGATATTCTGAATACCCCTCCTTTCGAGATAACAGATCATATAAACCTGGAAGAGAATATGGAAGATCTATTCCATGGAGAGGAGGGCATTCTTCCAACAAAGGAGGTAAATCCAGGGGTTCTTCATTCCACAAGAAGCCTTTATGACAAACTCTCTTCCCAATCTGGAGGTGTAGGTGCCCGTCTCCTACTATTCCAAAATATATGGAAACATTCAACTCAAGACAGATGGGTTCTGGATATAATACAAAGAGGTTATCTCATAGAGTTCTCCAGAATACCGCCACCTCGCTCCTTCCAAAAGACAAACTGGCCAAGAGATATAGAAAAAAGAAACACCCTAAAAAAGTTTATCTCATCCATTCAAGAAGATGGAGTTATCGTTCAAGTTCCACGGGCTCAACAGACACATGGGTTTTACTCCCATATTTTTCTCACCAGAAAATCCACAGGGGAATGGAGGCCAATATTAGACCTAAGCAAGTTAAACAAGTTCCTAAACATAAGAAAATTCAAGATGGAGTCCCTTCAATCCATTGTGAAAGCAGTTTTTCCAGAACAGTGGCTCATGTCAATAGACCTGGCAGATGCGTATTTCCATATTACCATACCACCCCAGCATCAAAAATTCCTCAGTTCCGCTGTGGAAGAGGGTCACTTTCAGTTCCGTGCTCTCCCTTTTGGCCTAAGCACTGCTCCACATACTTTCTCAAAAGTTTTGGTGGCTCTAATTGCAGAACTCAGGAAGAAAGGCATCGCAATATATCATTACCTAGACGACATCTTGATCCTGGCAGAAAGCAGAGATAACCTAGAAAATCACGGCTTAATATGTATGCAGTTTCTTCAGCAACACGGTTGGAAGATCAATATCTCCAAAAGCAACCTGAACCCATCTCAGAGCATGATATACCTAGGAGCATCATTCAACACTGCAAAAGGTTTAGTTCAACTGTCCCCAGAAAGGGGTATGAAAATTCAGAGAAAAGTCAAAGACATGTTGGCATTCAGTGTTTCCTCGGCAGAGAAAGCTATGAGCCTCCTGGGATCAATGTCCTCCACCATAGGACTAACAAGATGGGCCCAATGGAGGATGAGACCTTTTCAAAGAAATTTCCTTTGTCAATTCAAAGGGGGGAATCTGTCTCAGCCTATAAGTATCCCTCCTCACGTACAAAAATCCTTGAAGTGGTGGACTCAGAAGGAGTTTCTCTTCAGAGGTTTTCCCTTAGGAAATGTCCCATGGACCATTATCACTACAGATGCCAGTCAATGGGGTTGGGGAGCCCATCTTCATGTCCAAGGGAAGTGGTCATTTTTGACTTCCAACACTCCTTCGAATCTCCTAGAGCTTCTGGCAGTTTTCAAGGCTCTGAAGCACTTCCAACAACTTCTACTCCACAAGTGGGTCAAAATCAGGACAGACAATGCCACGGTGGTCGCATATATAAATCATCAAGGAGGGACAAGGAGTTGCAGAATGATGAAAATAATGAAACCTCTGATGTCCTGGGCACAAATAAATTTGGAGAGCATCTCTGCAATACATCTCCCAGGAACACAGAATTCAGTAGCAGACTTTCTCAGCAGGGTAACATTAGACCCAGGGGAATGGAGTCTATCAAACGAAATATTCCTACAAATTGCACAAATATGGGGTCTTCCACAAATAGATCTGATGGCAACAAGCAACAACAGGAATGTAAAGAATTTCTTCTCAAGAATTCCAGATCCCCAAGCCATAGGAAGGGACGCATTGACATGCATTTGGGACTTTGACCTGGCGTATGCCTTTCCTCCGAATCCTCTCATCTTCCCTCTGCTGAGGAGACTGCGACAAGAGAAGGCATCACTGATTCTGATAGCCCCTTTTTGGCCACGCAGACCTTGGTTTCCGCTACTACTAAGTCTATGTGAGATAGACCCATGGCGTCTTCCAGTTGTTCCATTTCTGCTACAACAGGGTCCAATTCTTCACCCAAACCCAGCATCCCTTCATCTGATGGCATGGTACTTGAAAGGGAGGGGTTAAAGAACAAGGGGTTTTCAAGATCAGTAATTGAGACACTTCTTCAAGCAAGGAAGAAGACCACTTCATCCACTTATTACAGAATCTGGGATGTATTCTCTTCATGGGCCAGTTCAAGATCTTTGGATATTCGGAATCCTTCAACAACTGATATTCTTGAATTTCTACAATCTGGCCTGGAGAAAGGATTGAGTTATAATACTTTGAAAGTCCATATTTCAGCCCTCTCGGCTTTAACCAATCATAAATGGGCATTGGACTCGGACATAGCAAGATTTCTGACTGCAGTCTTAAAAATCAAGCCCCCCATTAAGTCTATTGCTCCTCCATGGGATCTCCCTCTGGTCATTAAGGCTCTTAAATCAGATCCTTTTGAACCATTGGAATCAATTTCCTGTCATCTTCTCACGATCAAGACAGTTCTATTGGTAGCCCTAGCATCTGGTAGAAGGGTGTCTGATCTTCAGGCTCTTTCGGCTCAAGAACCTTTTACTATATTTCATAAGGACAGAGTCATCCTAAGAACGGTTCCAGAATTCCGTCCCTAAGGTGACTTCGGAGTTCCATATAAATTAAGAAATAGTTCTTCCAGCATTAAGTTCAGAAGAAACAAATAACGGAGAAGACGCTGATTGGAAAGCTAGTGAGATGTCTCAAGACATATATACAAAGATCCTCAGAATGGCGAAGTTCTGAAAGGCTTTTTGTTATTCCCAACTGCCCTAGGAAGGGTCTCCAAGCTTCAAAAGCCACTCTCAGTAGATGGATAGTTTCGGCTATTATCCAATCTTATCGAGCATCTAAAACAAGTATTCCTGAAGGTTTGAAAGCACACTCTACACGTTCTCTCTCTTCATCCTGGGCAGCTGCAGCAAAGGTTTCTGCAGAACTCATTTGCAAAGCAGCTACTTGGTCATCTTCTAATACATTTATCAGACATTATTGTTTAGACGTAAGAGCTGGTCAATACGATGAGTTTGGCAGATCGGTTCTTTCTGCTTCAAACGATTGATTTATTCTCTTATATTGTTCGTCACATGTGGTTGATTGTGATAATACACTTGCATTATATAATAATGTGTCTGAGTTTTTGTTTTTTCCTCCCTTGGTTTTAGCTTGGGTATTACCCATTGTTGTGCTGCCATGGATATGGCCAGGAAAGATAAAAATTTACTCATACTTACCGTAATTTTCTTTTCCTGGTCATAGGCCATGGCAGCACAAAGATCCCACCCAGGGATATTGCTGTTAACTAGACTGAGGGAGGAGGAGGTAGGAGGGGGTATTTGTACCTTTATTTTAATTAGTTCCTGTCTAATTAGGGATAGGGGAGGAGCTACCCATTGTTGTGCTGCCATGGCCTATGACCAGGAAAAGATAATTACGGTAAGTATGAATACATTTTTCTCTTTCCTATCTAATAAATATTATCCATGCATGCAGTTATAGGACACACTTTTATCACACACATATATTTAGAAGTTTTGGTACCTAATTACAAATCTATATTTAAGATTTTCAGAATGAGTGATATGTCATGTGTTTTTTGGTCATTTATGGCTATAAACCTTGAAAGAAAGACCGTCAGTTCACCATGCATTTAGTTATTTGCCACATTGTCTGGAATAAGGCTCATATGAATAACCTTATCTATATGTCCAACAACTAATATAAATATGTATGTGCACGTGTCCGCAGAATTTTAATTAACAATTCCATTAAAATCATTCATAAGACTAGAGCCACATCTGGTGAGGAAACTGTGGCAAAAGTTAATTAATCAATTATAGATTCTTCATTATCATATGTTACACCCACTAAATCTGATTAGAGAATGTTAAATCCATAGGTGTGAGTTACCTGTGAAAAGGAAACAAATATAACACTATAGAGAATAGAGGAAAGGACACTCTTGATTGACCACTAAATCACTCACTATTAAATTAGCTCTATCTTTTAAATTCACTCTATTGAATTTATTTCACCATATCTATTAAACTTTATTATTCTTACTCACTATTCTTCTGACAAACCTGAACCTACAGCAGGTTGTCTAACCATTTTCCATATAACTATTCTATTCAAAACTAAATTCCTTATCCATTGAGAAAACAGAAAACCAGCAACTTTGAGGTAATTATAACCTATATTATTTTTATAGCTTACATAGGTATGAAATGTATCTGAGTCAACATTTGGAATAATTTGGGGGAGACTATTCTTTGTATATTTAAAATCTGTGTCTGCAGCTCAGGTTGAAAATATGCAATGATTCTTAGTTGTTAGTTCTTAGTTATAAAACCTTTAATTATTGTTACATTCATTTGTTGAATTCAGATATTAATCAAAACCTATTATCTTGTATATATACCTGTAGATTTGCTTAGTGCAGATAGAGAGGTTACTTAAAATTGTCTAAAAGCAAAATTTGTATTACCATGTTTTTAATATATTTGCATATTGTCAGTTTGCAATTCCAAACTGAGAAAATGTAATTGCTGAGTGGATTAGGGATTGTAAAAATGTAATTTGGTTTGCAACCATTTGTGGAAATAGTTTTTTTTTTTTTGTTTTTTTTTTTCAGCCAGTGTCTATGCTTCTTTAATACAGTAGATATTTTAATGTGATACCCTGTCATATTATAGTCAAAAATATTAAATGTCAATGCAGATGTTATGTTGAGTTATTGCATTTGTTGGTATTAAATTCCTTGAGCCAGTTACTACATTGCTCATTATCTGGATTTTTGTTCTGGCATGTTTTGAAGCAATATTCTTTGTTACATGTTGTATGATCACTGATTTATGTTATTGTGTACATGTGTGTGTATATATAAATATATAGTTGTTGTCACAATAAATTATATTTTTAATAATATAGTTATTGTATGTTATATTAGATTGAAGTATAAATTAAGTTGAACTACAAGAATTTAGGATCAGAGATAAGTTAGTAAGCATCTCTTTAACCCCTTAAGGACCAAACTTCTAGAATAAAAGGGAATCATGACATGTCACACATGTCATGTGTCCTTAAGGGGTTAAATCAAAATTGTGGGCATGGTCCTATATTTTCATATTAATAATTGTTAACATTACTAAAATAATAATAGTAATGCATTGTTATTTCTTTATAATTTCACAAAATATTATTTTTAATATTTTGTCCCACAATTATTCCTACAGTATGCTCAGCCCGAGTATAATGTATCTAGTTTCTCTGCCTGTGTGATTCATTTTATTTTATTTCATCTTTGCTTGCATATGTAGCGGAGAGCAGTGGTAGCAGGGCTTCTTCTCTAACAGCTACTCAGGAACAAAAAGGAAAACTTCAAGACAAGACAGCATAAGTACAAGATGATTCATGAATATCCCATCACCCTTCCCAATAACTGGACGACACTCAGTATTAGGAGCAGAACTGAACTTTTAATGGCCAGGCTGGCCTTTTATGCAGGTTTTGTCCCAAAGGTTACAACCTAGGTGGACCTTGTGGGGCACCGATAAAAATATACAACAACCAATAAACACAGAGTCAGGTCATACATCACTCCTATACATTACACACAATCCCTCCCCTCTGCTCAGGAGATAATTTAGTTAATTACTGTATCAACTCAATTTTCTCCGAACAGAAAAACTTACATTTTTATACTTCTCCGGAAACACATCATACACTCATAATTTCAATATCCCCTGATAGCCCCGATCTGGGGGAGCAACATACTGAAAAATCACCCAGATCAGTTCAGGGGTTCGAGAGTTTTATGGAGGTCTTAGTTTTACCGACCGCACACGAGGTGTAAGCCGAGAATAGTTCCATGGGTTTTGACGGTGCGGTCAGTCTCTGTTCAGGAGGTTGAAATATATGAAAGTATATAAAAAATATGTAATCGAGATCAGGAAGGAGGTTCAGCGCTGATTGGAAAACAGAGAATATGACAGCAAGGCAGCACACCTATGGAAAAGGGGAATCCCCTCTAAGCCCCTTGGAATACAATGGAGAGAAAAGCACAAATAAGGGTGCACCTAAGACAAGTAGAATGAATATATAAAAATATGTATCAGAGAGTCCAAGCAGCGATACCTAGAAAGTCCGAATATAAATAATCCACATATGCAGGAGGTAGTCCTAGTGCTACATAAAATGGTATGTGAAGTCCCAGATGTATATCCGCAGCTTCAAAATGGATATGTGAAGAAAACAGAAGACAAGGGAAACTCCAATGGTATAGTATGAACGGTAAAATAATATTGTATATAGAATAGTAGAACTACTCACAATATTCAGAGCTTATATCCAGCTCTGGTGTAAATGGCACGTAGTGGAATAATCCCCACTCAAGGATATACGTTGCTCCTCTTATGTTCTTTAGCAGAGTACTTTGGTGGTGTAGTCCAGCTCGAGGTAAAAGAATAAAATATAGTGCTCACTGTATAGTTGATAAAATGTAAAAACAGAATAAAATATACTCACGGTATATAGAGCAGACGTACTGCTCGGTGGATGGCGTATGGGTGGTATAATCCCCACCTTGGGATTCTTGGTACTCCAATATGGACAAAAAGGTAGTAGTAGTCAGGTCTGAATAAAATAAACTTGCAAATAGTAAAATAATAAAATTATACTAAAAGAAGGTAATATAATACTAAGGTGGGAAGAGGAATGTGGCAACCAAATGTATAATAGCCAAATATTCCTTTATTAACACTTAGATTATATAAAAAGTTCCTATACGCGTTTCGCCACAATAGGCTTCATCAAGTAGAAACTTATAAAAACTCATAATTTCAATATCCCCTGATAGCCCCGATCTGGGGGAGCAATCACCCAGATCAGTTCAGGGGTTCGAGAGTTTTATGGAGGTCTTAGTTTTACCGACCACACACGAGGTGTAAGCCGAGAATAGTTCCATGGGTTTTGGCGGTGCGGTCAGTCTCTGTTCAGGAGGTTGAAATATATGAAAGTATATAAAAAATATGGTTTGTGTCTTTGTTCGTGCAATTCCTCTCGTTCATATGATTCTTTTTACTGAATGCCGCTCTGTTCCATTGAGTTCACACGAGCTTATACAAGGATGGAAGTCTCTGCGGTGTTCGTGCTGTCGCGTGTCCAATTTGGGTTCCAAACACTCGACGACCAAACACAGCTGGTGTAATTTGTATGCAAAGATGGCCATCGCCACGTGTTCGAATGATGAACGCCAGCCACCCTGGGAACCCCCAATTAGTTAGTGCGTTTGGCAATTGAAAGTGTGTGTACCAAGTTAGGGAGGTCAATTGATGCCACGCTCCTCTCCTGGGTGGCTGGGTTGTCCGGTAGTTCATTCGTTTGTCGAACCATATGGTGAAAGATAGCTGAACAGGATTCTTACCGAACAACCAGACGAATGATATCCAATATTTTATTGTTACTTGTTTCCACCAGTAACCAACGGGGATAATATATAAAATAAAGTAACAAAACGAGGTGGATGGACAACTCTGTCATGTATTCATCCGCTTATAAAAATGTGGTTAATGGCATTTACTGTCCACACATGAAAAGTTGTGCCGAGCAGCAACCAAATCCACAGAAGGGTTAATGCTGAGCAGCAATTATGCAACTAGGAACATGGTAACTGCCTTTGGGGTCAAAGGCCGGTTACAACCTATCAGATATTTAGGCCCAGTTCTCATCCTGCTCAGTGCCCTGTCGTGGATTCTCTTGTGGTTGTCCGAGAGCGTGTTATTGATTTTGGTTATTCTGGTTATTTGACTTTGGCATTGTTTTTGACTTCCCTGTTTTCTCGCATGCCTGACTCCTGGCTTTTCCTTATCATTGTGTCTCTTTCTGTATCCCTTGACCTCGGCTATTCCTGACTATTCTTTGGTACGTTAGTCCGGCCATTCTAAGGTCCGGTATACGTTACCTATCAGTCCTCTGTGTTACACAATTCTACGTGCTGGATCATTCTGTAATCCTGACATTACGGCATGGACATAGATTTGTAGAATTGTGTAAACACATAGCTGCTTGTGAAAGGAAACTGGAGGATAATGATCACTACCCACCGCTGGATCAATTTGCCCAGGCCTTCAGTATGCTTCTTACCCGAACAGCGCATCTGCAACCTGCGGCCTCACCTCCACCTTGTGTACCTCTAGCTATAGTACACACGGCACCTACTATCTTCCTATCTCCTCCCCTGCATTTTGATGGTAATATTCAAGAATGCCGGGGATTTATTAACCAAACATAGTATCATTTTGAGGCCTCACCGGGATCTTTTCCTACAGACTAAGCTAAAATTGGTTACGTAATGAATCAATTAAAAGGTAAAGCTTTAGCTTGGGCCAATCCATTATGGGTGAGTAATAGGAGTGTGGCACACAATTACCAGGAGTTCCTTACGGAATTCAAACTTACGTTTGAACCTTTAGGCAGAGAGGATGACGCCTCTACTGCCCTGATGCACATCAGACAAGGGAACCGGTCTATCTCGGAATATGCCATAGAATTTCGTACCCTAGCTTCCGAGGTAGACTGGACTAATAGTGGGTTAATCTCTGCATTTAAAAAGGGATTATCTGAAACTATGCTAGATGAGATTGCCACCAAAGATTTACCCAAAAAGCTTAATGAATTTATCACTTTTGTCATGCAGATTGATAATAGATTAAGAACCAGAGAAGCTACTAGAAACAAGACCAGACGCATGAGTATGCATTTAGCACCCCGTTTCTCCAGACCTATTGTCCCTGAAATTCCTGTACAGTCCGAACCTGAAAAGACAATGTAGGAGAAAAGAAGGCCCATGTCTATACTGTGGTAGGAAGGGACATATGAGAAACAATTGTCCCATACGTCCGGAAAACTACCGCACCTATGCACCTTAAGGGAACAGGTCTTAGGTGTAACGGAAACCTCCTCTGAAAAGAATAGAAATAGGTTTCTCCTTGACATTTATATCGCCTTTGACAATAATAACTTTTCATGCAAAGCCCTGATGGATTCAGGTGCTGCTGGAAACTTCATCGACGTTCAGTTTGTCAAAGGTAATACTATATCTATGAAAGAGAGACTATCACCCCTAGCTGTTGAAGCTATTGATGGGAGACCACTCTCACAACCATTGATAATGCATGAAACCTTACCCATTAATATTTCCATTGGTGCATTACATAAGGAAGAGATTACATTTCAGGTGATTGCATCTCCTTCTTGTCCTATTATATTAGGATTCCCATGGCTTAGCAAGCATAACCCTCATATTGACTGGGCTAATGGGGAAATATTACAATGGGGTAAGGATTGTAATAAAAGGTGCATATTGCATGTCACCAAAAGAGTGGGCACTATTGAATTACCCACTAGTACACCTCAAAATCCTGAGATCCCTATACAATACCAAGACATTAAAGAAGTATTTAGCAAGACTCACTCTGATACTCTACCTCCTCACAGACCATATAACTGTTCCATTAACTTACTACCAGGTGCTATGCCACCTAAGGGAGCAGTCTATGCTCTATCTCCTCAGGAGAGTAGTGTAATGAAGGAATATATTAAAGATTCATCGAATAAAGGCCATATACGAAAATCATCCTCGCCTGCTGGTGCAGGATTCTTTTTTGTATCTAAAAAGGATGGTGAGCTGCGCCCATGTATCGATTACAGGGCATTGAACAAAATCACCATTAAGAACGCCTACCCCATTCCTCTTATTGCTGAATTATTTGACAGACTCCAGGGCGCTAAA